CCGAGTCCGCGTGCGGCCTTGGTGGCGGCCTCGCGGGGCGGCTCTCCCAACGGAAGAGGGGGGTCGGGGGCGCTGGGCAGGGCGGGGTTCCAGTGAAAGTGCTCCAGGATGTACTTGAGAAACAGCCGGCGCTCCACGTCGAGCGCGGCCTGCAGGTGGCGGATGCGCGAGGCCTGCTCTCCGTGCGTCTCCCAGCGCAGCTGAGCCAGGACCTCCTGCAGGCGGCACCGGCACCGCGCGCCCGCGTCCTCGGGCGGCCGCGCGCGGCCGCCGCCGTAGCCGCGGCTAAGCAGCTCCTCGGCCAGCTGGCGCTGCAGCTCCCGGGCCTGGCGCGCCACGCCGTCGCGCTCCCGGCGCAGCACCTGCTGCAGCTGCCGCATCTCGGCCTCCTTCCAGCGAAGCAGCTGCCGGATCTCGGCCTCGCGCTCCCGCAGCACGTCCTCCCGCAGCTGCCGCAGCTCCCGGCTTCGCTGCGCCTCCCACTGGGAGCGCAGGTGGTCCGCCAGCTGCTGCCGCTCTCGCTCCGCCTCCTCTCGCAGCTGCCGCGCCCCGGCCGAGAAGCGCCGCCGCTCCTCCCGCCCGCGCGCCCGCTCCGCCTCCAGCTCCGCCCGCAGCTTCTCCAGCTCCCGCCGCTGCTTCTCCAGCGCCGCCGCCGCCGCCGCCGGGCCCGGATTCCCCGGCTTCTGGGAGGCTGCGCGGCCGCCGTCCGCAGGGCTGGGCGAGTCCTTGGTCATGGTGGCCGCGGCCGGGCCAGACAGCCGACCTCGTCTGGCCCGGGCCGCCTCTCGCCAACGGCCGCCGCCGCCCTGGGCCGCGGCCAACCGCCCTGATCACCCCTTCCGGTGCCCGAGGGTCCTCGCGCGCCCCTTCCGCCCCTGGGCGCGCTCTCCCACCTCCTGCGGTGGGCGCACGGCCTGCGCTCCTCTCTCCGCTGCTTATGCGTGCGCTGGGCTCCGGACCCCCGGGGCTGAACGCCGCCCATGTCCATCTGGCGATGCCCAGGCGTATGTCTGGCCCCATGTCTCTGCCTGGTCCTGGCACCACGTCCCTTACCATCCTCTTCCTGGATGATACCTTTGAGGCCAAGGAACCCCGGCGGAATCCCAAGCCGCTTGTCTGGGCCTGGAGAAAGGGGGCTTGCTATGGCATGAAAATCACCAGTGGGTGTGAGCCGACCCTGCCTGGCCCTGCCAAGGATTTGGGTGGTGTGGGTACTGGAAGGACTTCCCAGGTGATCCTGGTGGTAAAGAACCCGGCTGCCAATGCAGGAGATGCAAGAGACGCATGTTCAATCCCTGGGTTGGGAAGATCCGCTGTAGGATGGCATGGTGACCCGCTCCAGTATCCTTGCCGAGAGAATCCCATGGACAGAGGAGCCTGGCAGGCTACGGTCCATCGGGTCACAAAGAACTGGACACAACTGAAGTAATTTAGTGTGCACACACACAGATACACACAGGGACTGGAAATCACAACAGGATATGCTTGAACTTGGGGGTGTGCCCTGGGCTCACCTAGGGGAGGGTGTGTCTGGCTCCTGCACCCGCACTGCTCCTACCCTTCCAAGGACCCCTCCCAGGACCTGCGTGCATTATCTGTTTAAACCTCCTAAGCCCATTTTACAGAGAAGCCTCGAGCTCGTGGCCTGGGCATGGTGCCAGCCGAGACAGGGCAGAAGGGTTCCTTTGAGGACCAGAGCCCTGAACTGTGATTTCCTGGTTCATTTTCACAACCACCCATGGAGACCGCTCTGTGAGAGAGGGACCTCCTGACAGTCACAAGGTCCAGAAATAACTGAAAGTGAAAGCGTTAGTCACTTACTTGTGTCTGACTCTTTGTGGACCCACAGACTGTAGCCCGCCAGGCTCCTCTGTCCATGGGGATTCTCCAGGCAAGAATACTGGAGTGGGTAGCCTTACCCTTCTCTAGGGGATCTTCCCAACCCAGGGATCGAACCCAGGTCTCCTGCACTGCAGGTGGGTTCTTTATCATCTGAGCCACCAGTGAAGCCCAGAGAAGCAACGAGTGGGGATTCAAACCTGCAAAATTCCGCCTCCAGTTTCCACGGGCACTCTGATGCCGTCTGACTGACCTCAAGGTCGCAGCTGGGAGGACCCCTTCCCAGGCCTCCTCTCCAGGAGCCTCACGTTTCACATCCACAGAAGGAGAGAGTCAAGTGGAATGCAGAGGCGGTGGAGGGGCAGGCGAGGAGGTGAAGAATGCAGCTACCCTGAGGGCCAGGCCTGCCCTTGGGTCTGGCTCAGGAGTGCCCAGCTTTTCCAAAAAGAAAAACCCAGGGCTCTTGTGGGCCCTGCTGCTCCCCACACCGCCTCCCTGGAGACGACATGGCCGGAGAACTCTCCGTGGCTCTCCGTGGGGCAGTGCATCAGATGCTTAGGGCTGTGGGCCTTTGGAGTCAAATGTTCCTTCAGCTTTTTGACCTGCTCCTGTGTTCTCAACTGTAAAATGGGTGCATTATGCAGCTCGCTGCCACGCTGTGTGACCGCCCAGAGTTCTTGACCTCTCTGAGCAGTCATTTCCTCTGTTTCTAAGGTTTCAAGGAAGTGACACTACACAGTGCCCAGAGGAAGCTCCCTGGCAGTTCACTCATTTCAGTCCTAGATTGGGAAACAGGCCTGCAAGGCAGGTATTTGGCTGAGGCTGGCAGGGTGCCAGGGTGTAGCCAGCCCAGGGGCCTTCTGAGCTTCCTGGGGCTCACCCAGATGCCTCGGGGCAGATGGACAGATGCCTCAGAGACCTGGGCATCCATCCAGGCTCCGCCACTTCTTGGCTGAGGGAGTATGGCTGGTTCTCTTTCAGGGTGTATTGCTAGCATCGGCCTCGCAGGGTCGGGGCCCCTGTCGGCCCAGGACCCAGGGCTGGGTGTGTAGTAGGAGGCACACCAAGGTCTGTGTAGGCTCCAGTCTCCCCATCCAGGCTTGGCTGGGACTTTCACAGGCTTCTTCCCGGGGTCTGAAGAGGTGGCCTGGCTCAGAGGCCTCCGGGCTGCAGCGTGTTGGGGACAACACAGAAACGACACATTCTGTGCTCGGCGCTGGTGCTTGCCATGTGTTATGTTCTGCTTCTGTTTCTTGTTTGTCTTTTTGGCCACCCCACGCAGCTCATGGAATCTTACTTTCCCCACCAGGGATTGGACCCGTGTCCTTGGCGGTGAGAGCTCCAGGTCCTAACCGCTGGTCCACTGGGGTTATTTAAACCAGGCATTCGATATACGAGTGGTCTTAGTCCTATTGGATTCAGAATTCTGCTCAAGGCAGTAGGCTGGTTAGTGGGCCCCACACAACCCCTGGTTTTGTCCACTCACCACTAAGCTTATCTTATCCTTTGGCCTCTGCTGAGCAGTTCCTCCTCCAGGAAACCCTCCCTGACTCTCCAGGCTGGGCTTGGGCAACCCGGGACTCTGCAGCTCTGATCATACCACCCAGGGCCTCTCCTTCTGGAGCAGGTACGTGTCTGGTACACCTGTCCCTGCCCAGAGTGGACTGAGAGGAGGGGTAAGTTAAAGTCCCTCCGCAGAAAGGAGGGAGAGGGACCCAGGGCCAGGCAGGCAGGGGACAAAGGGCACGGCCTCCCCGGGCTACCTGGCCTGCCTGGCCCCCCATTCAGGTACCACCTGGCAGCGGGGCCGACAACCCCAGGCTCCAGGCTGCCCGCTGGGCCCTGGGCGGGGGCCTCAGGCTGGGCCAGGAGTGAGGCTCAGGCCACTACAGAGGTGCTGGTGGAATCCTGAGCTGTGGAACACACACACCCTGCACACACAGGCACACGCATGCACATGCAGGCACACATGCATGCGCGCACACACACACACCCTGCACACGCATGCACTTGTACTCACACACACTCAGACACACACATGTATACCTATGCACATGCAGGCACATGCAGGCACACACAGGCACACACATACACTTGACTGCTTCTAGCCCTGCCGACTGTGTGGCTGGAAGCTCAGGAACCTTACTTCCATCCGGCTCTTCCCTGCCCTGCTTGCCCTGGCACCACGTGACTCCTGGGGGACTCAGGTGGACTTCTGGTCCCAGTGTTTGCATCCAGTCTTTAATGACCCCATGACTGACCCCGCTGCTCCTCAGGGTGTGGCACAGGCCTGGCCCGGGCAGCACCTGGGGCCTTTACAGCTCAGACTCTCTGCTTGGAGCACGGCTGTCTAGCCACGAGCCCCCCACAGGACCCTCGGAGTGAAGTTCCCCTTCCCCCCACCAGCCTCTCCTGGGTGACCGACCTTCCTGGGTTGCTCCTGGTGCAGGACAGATAGACAGGCAGCCCTCTCACTCACACAGGCTTTCCTCAGGTAGGTGGGCAGACAACCTTGGCCCCCTCTTGCAGGTGGGCAAGCTGAGGCTCAGAGACGCCTCCGCCCTTTCTGCTGCACTCGTGTTTTCCTTTCTCCTTTCCCCTCGTATGTGCTTGTTTTTTGTCTTCTGGGCTGTGCTGTGAGACGTGTGGAATCTTAGTCCCCCAACCAGGGATCAAGCCCAGGCTGTCGGCAGTGAAAGCCTGGAATCTCAACCACTGGACCTCCAGGGAATTCCTGATACTCTAGGTTTTTATCCTGGGTTCCCGTGAACGCTAATGTACCATGGGAGATGCCACTGGGCAGGGGCGAGTACCCAGAACACAGGGACTTTTGGCTCCAGGGGTCCTGTGAGAGGAGAGGTGCACGGGGGGAAGGGGGAGGTGAGACATGGGAGTGGTCCCGGTGGTCCTGGAGCCACAGGGAACAAGTCTTCAGGGGACCCCCCAGCACAGCTCTGTTGGACAGAGGCTGAGGCCCCGAGGCTCAGCGGAAGCGGGTGGCTTGCCCGGGACAGAGGCTGAGGCCCCGAGGCTCAGCGGAAGCGGGTGGCTTGCCTGGGCACGTGGGCAGCTGGGGCAAAGCCGGACAGTCAGCTCAGGGCTCTGGGAGGGGCTCGGCAGCCTGGCCGTCCTGCCGCAGCCTCCAGGAGTGGGGTCAACAGTCAGGGCAGGAAGGCAGGCTGCTGCCAAGGAGCAGGACCGCAGCTCGAGTCCCTGGGAGCCCCACGGCACCATCCTGTCACTGCCTGTGCCAGCGCCACCCGAGGGGCACAGAGGAGCACGGCGGAGGGCTGAGCAAACAGCTCATCTGTCTGCTCCATCCAAGCTGCGTAGTGATTGTCCAGCGACCTGCAGACACCCCGCGGACTCTGAGCTTGGGAGCCTGATGGCTTTCCTTGGGTGTGGCTTTCTTGCCTAAAACATAAAAGGGACGGATTATATAGGTAGTTTTCAAAGGCAGTTCCCTTGGGCTTTGGGGGTCCTGGAAAATACTGTAGGGTGGGAAGGATATGCCAGAGCTGACCGGACAGTCACTCGTGTCACCTGTCAGGCTGTAAGGAGGACTTCCCCCTGTGGCTCAACCGGTAAAGAGTCTGCCTGCAATGAAGGAGATCAGGGTTCGATCCCTGGGTTGGGAAGATCTTCTGGAGGAGGGAATGGCAGCCCACTCCAGTGTTCTTGCCTGGAGAATCCCATGGACAGAGAAGCCTGGTGGGCTGCAGTCCCTGGGGTCGCAAAGAGTCGGACACGACTGAGCGACTAACACAGAGCAAGGAGGACATTGGTTTACAAGTGTTTTAAAGAGGCAGGCTGGGAATTCCCTCATGGTCCAGTGGTTGGGACTCTGGTGTGCTTCCACCGCAGGGGGCACAGGTTGAATCCCGGGTCAGGAGAACTAAGATCCCACAAGCCTCGTGGTGTGGCGAAAGGAAAAAAAAAAAAGGTGTGCTGCTGGTAAGAGAACCTCTGGGTTACAGAGCCTTCTGACTATCACGGGCCCCACCGCCCCAATGCCCCTTGGCTCCCCGATCTGGAGAGGGGGCCCGTGCCCCTTGTGTCTGGCTCCGCCCCACACCCGCAGCCCCGCACTCCGTGTCTGTGACCGCTGGACTGGGTGGTCATGAGGTCTGGGGTCCTGGGCAGCTTTTGCTCCTCTGCCCTCCGCCACCCACGCCCTGAACTGTTCGGAGCACTTGACCTTGCTGAGGGTCCCGGGCTGCGTCCTGAGAGCCCACCAGGGGCTTTAGGCTTCTGATCTCTGTGGCTGCAGTCGCCCCAGCTTTCCAGCCTGCGTCTCTTATTTGTGGGTCATCAGTGTGTTTTCTGCCCACTCTCCAAAGTCTTCTCAGCACCTGAAACAGCACCCAGGACTGAGTCCAGGCCTGGTGAACGCGCGGCTGGAGAAGACGAGGCCAGCCGGCCAGTGTGGCTGGCGTCCTGGTGCAGTCCACGGTCTACGGTCAGCAGGTGTGCGCACTCAGTCATGCTAAGTCATGTCCGACTCTGCTCAACCCCCTGGACTAGGGCAGACATAGGCGTTAAACACAGATATGGCAAAGGAACACGGTAGCGAGCTCCCAGCCTGGCCTTGGGCTGGGAGCCAGGGGTGCGGTGCTAACCGGGAGAGGAGCCCACCCCAGCCGGGCAGGAGAGCCCGGGCTGCCCAGAGCAGGGGCCGGACTCCAGATGGAAGGACCTGCCGTGCCCTCGACCCCTTCCCTCGGAGCTTCCTGCTGCAGGTCACAGGACTGCACCCAGCACCACCCCATCCTGGGGCAGTGTACACCTTCTCCAGGTCGACTCCTGGGCCCACTGGTCCACACCCCCCAGCGGGCGGGGCAGCGGGTGCCAGCCTCCAGCTGCAGCCCCCTGGCCATGCTGGGCTGGTCTCTGTCTCGGAGGTCCTGGCCCTGCCGCCCCCACCCCTTGTGCCCCCTGAGGGTGACCAGCTCATCCCCACCAGCACAGAACAGGCCTCATTCCTGAATCCTCACCACAGTTGGGAGGCTGGTACTGTCCTCTCCGGAGGGGGAAACTGCCCGGGTTCCATGAGGCCCCAGGCGACCCGAGCCTGGTGCTCCCGAGCTGGCCCGTGGGCTCTGACCGCCTGGGCGTCACTGGGGTGCCCGAGCCGCTGTCTCCCGAGGACCTGGCAGCCACCAGCAGCAGCGTCTTGACTCTCAGCTCCTGCTGTTGCCAGGACAGACCCATCCTCCGTCTCCGGCATCTGCATCGCTCTCTGCTCTGCGCCTCTCCCAGCCACCGTCTTCCTGTACCGCCGGGAGCCCGAGGAGGCCTGGTGCATCCTCCAGGCACACCTGGCAGTACCTGAGGTCCAGGCATCCAGCCCTCGCCCTCATCAAGTGTTGGCTGAGCACCCCGCCTGGTCCGGGCCGAGGATGGGGGGCAGGCGCCAGAGTTAGTCTCCTTATTCGCTAAGCACAGAGATCCTGCAGTGGGGTTTGCGAAGGAAGGATGGTGGATGGATGGAAGGGGGGGAATGGAGGGAGGGGGGAGGGAGGGAAAGGGCGGCCCTTCGGCTTGGCCATGTCTCCCACACCTCACTTCACCCCCAGTAGTCCGGCAGAGACTTGGACGGGACCCCTCTGGTGACTGGGGGGCTGAGGAAAGCTTGACTGACCCCTTGAGCCTCAGTTTTTCCCTCGGTCAGTGGGGCCGCAAGAGTTGTGACCTCACAGGGGTTTGCGGGCGTCAAAGGCAGGCTTGTGCGTGGGCGCTGGCAGGAGCCCACCTACTGCAGGCAGTCAGGCTCCGCAAGCAGGGCGACATGGCTTGTGCTGCGGGCTCACCTGCACCTGCCCCGCGGACGAGGCGGTGTTGGGCCAGGGAAGGAGTGAGGCAGAGACCGGGCCCAGACGGCGGGCACCTCCCCTGTCCTCCGTCTGAGCCTGCACACCTCACCAAACCCCCCAGTGCCTCTGTCATTTTCCTGGCTGCCTCCCCAGGGTGTGGCAAGCAGGGACAGGAGGAAGGGGTCACTCCTTTTAAGAAATATTTCTGTGTTTGACTGCTCTGGGTCTTAGTCAGCCCACCACGACATCTTCCATTTTCCATTTGGCATACAAAGTCTTAGTTGCTGCACATGGGATCTTGGTTCTCCAACCAGGGATCCAACCCATCCAACCTGCAGTGGAGTACAGAGTCTTAACCACCGGACCACAGGGAAGTCCCATGCTGGCCAAATGTGCAGGAGCACCCACTGTGCGCCAGCCCTGGGGGGAGGCAAAGGATCTGCTTTCTCCCATCTTCCTCCCGGTGTGAAGCCGGGGCTCTCAGGACCCTGGGCGAGATCGGCTCTACTCCAGCTGCCCACCTCCAGGGCCCTTTTCCTCTGCTCGTGGGACACCCACCGCTCTTAGTGTGGAGAAGAGGTCCTTTCCAGGCCTCAGTGATCCCCGAAGCACCCTGGGCGTGGCCTGCACTGCCGCTGGGGTCCCAACTGCCATCACCTCTGCCTGGATGACTTCCCTCCTTCCCGGTCCCTACCTCATCTCCGTCCTCCAGCCAGAAAACTCTCGTTAGACCCAGGTATCTGATCTGACCGTGGCGTCCCCCTTCCAACCTCAGAGTCGCTCCTTTCCACCCTTCGGGTCCCTGTGTTGCTTGGGGCGGGGGGAGGGGGTAAACGCTTGGCCTCCATCCTCTCTCTGTTTCCCAAGAGTGTTACTTAACGCTGTTTGCTCAGCGAGGCTCCCGCCCCACCCGCCCCCGTGGGAAGTAGGTCCCGCACAACCCCTTCCCCATCGCAGAGGCACTGAGCCGGTGTCTGAAAGAATCCCGGTCCTTCTGCACACCTCCTGCGGCCGGTACCGCTGTGCGCCTACTGTGTGCCAGCGCCTGATTCCACCCTGCTAGCGCCGCCGCCCCCGGCTCCCGCGGTGGGGGTGGGGGGAGGGACGGGCAGGGTCCCCGCGCGCGCCCGCGCCGTGCCCGCGCACAGTAGGCGCCGCGGCCGCGCGCGCGCGCGCCGCCGCCCCTCCCCCGCTCCAGGAAGTGCGGGGGCTCCGGCGCCGGCCGCCGCGATGCATTCTGGGCCAGCAGCAGCACCAGAGCCAAGATGGCGGCCAGCAGGAGGCTGATGAAGGTAAAGGCTATTCTCCGGCGCCGGCCGGCCGGCGGGCTGGCGAGCAGCGGCGGCGGCCGGGCCTCCCGCGGCCGCCCGGGCCCCTCGGGGCGCCGCCCGCCGCCCCCCGCCCTGCGTGGCCCCCGCCCCCGGGCCGCGAGCCGAGGGGGCTAACGGGGCCGCTAGGCCTCAGCCCCGGGCGGGAGTGCCAGGCCGCGCCGCCCCGCCCGGCTCCGCGAGCTCTCTCTCTTCGCGCGGCAGCCGCGGCGGCTCCCGGGCTGAGGCGGCGACTCCCGGGGGCCCGAGCGGCGAGCCCGCGGGGCCGCCCCGCCCTGGGCCGCGGCGCGCCGGGCTCAGGGCGGGGGGCGAAAGTTAGGCCGGGGCGGCGCGGTCTCCCGGCGGGCCGGCGGGCCTGTCTCTGCGGCCGGGTCTCCCCGCGCCCCCCGGTCCTCGCCCTCCGCGCCCCGGGCCCTGCGGGAGCCAAGTGTGCCGTCTTGGGGGCGGGGATGGCGGTGGGAGTCGGACCCGGCCAAAGTTTACAAAAATAACCCGCCACTCTGTGTCTCGAGGGCGGCGGGGCGCCCTCTCGCTCGCTGGCCGCCCGGGTGCGGAACCACCGGCCGTCCCCCCCCAGCGCCCCGGAGCCCGAGCTCGCCTCGGGTAGCCCTGCCGGTGGAGGTGCTGCACCGGACCGGAAACGACCAGGGCCCGGGAGCCGGCTTACTGAGCAACCGTGGAGGGCTGGGGCTCTTCCCGGGCAGAGTCTTGCTGCGGCGAGCCAGACGGCGGAGCTTGGGAGTCCCGGCACCCCGCCCCGGGCCCTGGCTCCTCGGGAGCGTTTCCTTCTTTTTGTCCACTAAGGGCTAGAGACGACGTTGAACTTCCTAAGACTCGATTGGAAGTGGGCTCAAAAGGACGGTCAGCGGAGTCCAGCCTTGTTCTCTCTTCTCTTGTCCACGACTCACCCGTCCACACAGTCATCCGGATGGGAGGACCAATACTGGGTTATTTCCCTGCACTCCTTCCCGCAAAGGCTAGCGCTCCTTGATGACTTTCGGATGTTACTTTTCTGGAAAGGCGTCTTGATGTTCGTGCCTCCATCTCTGCTCTTGCTGAGATGACTTTGAATCAATCAGGCCTCACCTCTCAGGGTGCCCCCCTGAGTTCTCGCCTTCTCTGACTTGCCTTCTGGGCTACCGGAGTTCTTTTTCTTTCTGAAGCACATAGTTAATCCTTTCACTCCAACCCCTTCCAGTCCTAAGCCTGTGATTTTATTGTCCTGGGACATTAATCCCGGCTTCCCCACATGCCAAACCCTGTGACCTCTGGAAAACCAGTCCATTCGGCCACACCTCCTGCTTCTTGGTTCCCCACTACTTTTTTTTTTTTTAATTGGAGTATCCTCTTGCCAAGCAGGAGATGCAGGAGACGCAGGTTCGATCCCTGGGTGGGGAAGATCCCCTGGAGGGCGAAATGGCAACTTGCTCCAGCCCTCTTGCCTGGAAAATTCTATGGACAGAGGAGTCTGGTAGGCTACAGTGCATGGAGTTAGGAGAGTTGGCAGACTGAGTGAGCACACACACGCAGGTGATTGACAGTGTTGTGGTCGTTTCTGGTGGACAGCTCAGGGGCTCCGTCGCGTGTGTGGGCACCTTTTCTTCCCCACACCCCCTCCCGTGCAGCCTGCCAGGTTATGTGGCGCAGGGCTCCCTGTGTGCTGCTGCAGGCCCTGGGTTTCCCCACCACTCTTGCACTTCATCACCGTGGCTGCCTGTCTGCTTAGCTTTGACTTTGCGCTGCTCTCTGCCTCACTTTCACGCTTGTGTGTAATCCTCCCTGTTATTCCCAGTTGGTAGGTGAGAGAATGGGATGCAGGGAGTCTCTGGCTTGCTCTAGTTTCCTAGCTGGGGAGGGAGTGAGCTGTGATCTGCCCAGTCTGACTCCACAGCCCCCGGCCCTTAGGCGTCCTTTGCACGTGCCGTTTGATCTCCCCGAGAAAGGCAGCCTTCCCCTTGCCTGGCCTTCTCTCCAGGGAAGTCCTGGGTTCAGCCCTGCGGCCTTGCCCCCGTCCCCGCAGAGGGAGTAGTTTCCTCCTTCGTGTGACCACAGCACTTTGTGCGTTTCTCTCTGAGTGCTTGTCACAGTTGGAGTTGTGTTGGACTTACCTTTCCTCCTGGGTTCTGAGTTCCTCAAGGGCTGGGATCTTGACCTAATTCATCCTGGTATCCCTTAGTCTAGGTTAGTTGACCCAGTTTGGGGCTCCCAGGGGTCTGAGAAGGGAGTTAAATGGCTTTTCAATTACTCTTGTATTGTAAAAATTAGAGCTTAGGAAAGAAGAAATACGTAACATGTACGAAGTACTTACTGAGTACTAGATCATCTGTGTAAGTTTTTTCTTATCTTTTCAATAACTTGTGAAGTTCGTGTGTCATCATCTTCACTTTAGCAGTGAGGTAGTTGTGAAGCTTAGCAGGCTGTCCAGGGAGAGATGCTGCATCTCCCTGGCTCCGAATCCCAGGTTCCATGCCCCTCCCCACACAGTCTCCCCTCTTACTGCAAGGAGTGCAGAGGAGCATGTTGGATTCTTGACTAGTGGCTAGAGATTCTTTCAGTTCAGTAGCGGATGCTCCTTACAAGATGCTAATCATTGACTGAGAGTCAGTGTTTCGGCCTAGTTAAAAAAAAAAAAAAAAGTACCGAATCAGGTCAATCAATACACAGGTTGGATAATAAAAGGGATTTCCGGTGGTGAAAAGTAAACAGGTGTTGAATAGTCAAATGGATTACGTCTTAAAGAGCTTCACATTTCCTCAGAGACCATTTTCTGAGACACTTGGAGTCAGAGATTTTCTTTTAACAGCGGACTGTCTGCAGATAATGTAAAATGCATTATTAAAAGTAGAGCGATTTGCATATGTCAGGCCAGGAAGTTATTTTAGGCAAAGTGAATGTGATAAAGTCTTTAGTTTAAAAAGCAATTGCCAAAAGGATTGGCCTTTTTTTCAGGACCGTTTTTAGGAATTCCAGTGTCAATAAAACATTAAGTACATTTTAATTTGCAAGCGGCTAATTCCGTGTAGATGGCAGCTGCCGGATTGTTAGCACTGCTTCAGTCAGGAGGGGAAATGGCTACAAAACTGAAACCTGTAGGTGTGGCTGAGGGAGACTGGCGGCAGTCTGCCTTTCTTTTTAGCCTCTCAAGTGCAGCGCGCGTCTCCCCCACGGCCCTCCAGCTGGGTGTCTTCCCAGAAGGGCTTTTCTCAGTGGGGGAAATGTGTAGATGTGAGCGGGGTGGCGTTCCACTAGTTACTATTACGCTGACTTGTCGGGAGGGACTCAGAGGGCTGGCAGCCTGTCAGTGCTGTGTGACTCCGGCTCAGCCCCAGCGGCAGGCTGGTGCGCCCTCTGCCCGTGACCGCGGGGGAGCGAGTGGGGGGCTGCTGACTGACAGCGCAGGCCCTGGAGGGTGCTGAGCAGGGAACTCACCTGCTCTTGAGGGCAGGCGTAGCTCGCCGAGGGTAGTGCGTCTGGGGGTGGGGGGGAGTGTGGGAGGGGAGTTTTCCTGGTGGTGTCGTGCCAGTGTTCATGTCCTGAATCCCCTGGTTCTGGGGACTCAGGGAAGAAGCTGCGTTTTTTACCCTACACTCGTGCCTCGCAGTGCGTCGGGACTGTTTCAGCCTCCCTTATTGGCATTCTCTAAATGCTCCACGGAGAGGTAGGTGGGACGGGCCCCGCCTGGAGAGAGTGTGCTGTTGCCGCAGCGCTGGGACCTTTTCTTGGGGTGCACATGAGAACAAAGACACTTGTCTCGAGGTGCTCGTATCTCTTCTCATCTTGTTACAGCTCTTAATTAAGAGGCTGTTGATTTCCGTTTTATTATGCTAGGTCATTGGAGTGTCCTCACTCTTGGAAAGGATCACTGAATGTCCCAGAGGTACTTGTGTCTTCTCTGACACAGCAGCAACTTGGGAATGAAAGCTTGGAGAACCACGACGCCACCCCCCTGGCCTGGACTCTGTGTCTGTTGTCCCCCCACCTCGAGAGAGAGGTCTCCTTGCGGGCCCCCTCCCTCCTGCTCTGCACCCCTGTGCCCGGGCCCGCCTGCCCTTAGCTAACGGGCCGCCTGTCTGCCCTGGCGCCGAGGACGGACCTGAGGCCCCCGCCTCGCCCCTTTGTCCTGCGAGGGGCCCCTGGCCAGCTGCTGCTGAAACGGGCCTCTATGTCCCTTCCCCGCTGGGCTTCTCCGCGGCCCGCCGCTGTGCCCCGCATGCGAGTGGCCCCTGGCCGTGGCGCACGCCTGCTTGGGACTGCTCAGTGGGCCCTTTGTGCTCCCCCCTCCCCGCCGCCTCGGTCCCACGCCGGCCCTGACTGGCTGCACGCGGAGAGACGCGCTCATGCCGCTCCCAGGAGCTGCACCCATTCCTGGCGTCTTCCTTCCAGGGAGGGCTCAGCAGCCCATCGTCCCTGCCCGCCTGTCCTGGACTCCCCGGGGCCTGTGAGCGCAAGGCCAGCATAGCTGGTCTCTCTGCACCAGGGTGATTCCTGGTTCTCAGAGGCTCAGCTCCGCGGGACAGGGTGGGGGGTCCCCCTCTAGGCTGTGCTCTCAGGAGTTGGAGGACGGGGTGGCCCAGCCTAGAGCAGAGATCCCGGACGCCCACTTGCTAAGGAGTGGGGAGCAGGGCGGGGCCCTTCTGGCAGGAGGAGCCCCGAGCTTGCTCTGGCCATTGGTGGTGAGGAGCTTCCATGCTTCAGAGCAGACAGAGGGGCCTGGCCTCGTGCCGCTGACCTCCCTGGGCAGGAGGGACAACGCCTGTGCAGCGCTTCCTGGGATGCTGGGCACTGGCCGGGGTTACCCGTGGTGGGAGGCGCACACTCCCCACCCCCCCGGCTGGGCTGCTGGCGGAACCAGCTCCTGTCAGCGCTGTGAGGGTGGGTCTCAGGAAGGCTGTCAGAGACGCTGTGCCTTTCAGCTGAGGTCCTGCCAGCCCCGGCGCCGCGTCCAGAAGCGGGCGCTTGCTGGC